TCCTCACTGTGTCTTCCTCACACAAGAAACCACGTGCCAGGAATATTGGTAATCTAATTAGTTAGAGTCGGATGTACACCATGAGTTTCAAATAGATAATTAAGTCTGTATATGCCCGCTGTGAAATTTAAATCACCCGATCCTGGTGATCCAAAGGATGGATGATATACAAGCATTGTTTCAAATTCTCCCTCTGCAGAGAGAATCCTTTGAAAATATAAACATCCTTGGAGACCTTAGGTAATTCAGACTAAGGTGTTAACAAATTATTGGAGCATTTCTTCTGATTAGAGGAAGTAAATACATTCTTGAGAATTTGGGGTGGGTGAGAGGTGTGTCAAGAGGGAGGAGGGCCATGAACAGTAAAATTTATAAACATCAGTTTTCCCTCCGATCAGCCCCACTAAGGCTTGCCATTTCTTTTTAAAGAACAGTATAAAATCACTCTGGAAGACACTAGAAAGAGGATAATCAGAGAAACCCTGATACAACTAGACCTAAGGAAGGAATGGGCCACTCAGGTAGGTGCCAAGTCTGTTAAAACAAAGCAGAACTTCCCCTTATTCATGCAGTTTATCATGGAGAGCCGTCAAAGGGAATGCTTGTTTGTTGAGGCCGATGGTGGTGCATGTCTGTTTGAGGCCCATGGTGGTACATGTCTGTTTATTTGAGGGTCATGGTGGTACATGTCTGTTTATCTGAGGCCCATGGTGGTACATGCTTGTTTGTTAAGGCCGATGGTGGTGCATGTCTGTTTGAGGCCCATGGTGGTACATGTCTGTTTATTTGAGGGTCATGGTGGTACATGCCTATAAACCCAACACTCTGAAGGCTGAGGCAGGAGGTCCATGCTCTAAATAACCAAACCCTGTCTCAGAAAGAAAGAATGGGGGTTAGGATGTAGCTTAGTGATGGAGCGCTTGCCTAGCATGTGCACAACCCTGGGTTTGACTCACAACACTACAAACATAAAAACACCATCACCTCCACCAAACAAAACAAAAGCCTTGGTTTCCAAAGTTAGGCAGTTTACTGTGCTGTCCCAGCACTCATGAGCTGTAGAACAGGATTCATTACTCCATTTTCCCAGACTTCTGTTTTCTAATGCATAGAGCAGAGACTATTATATTTATTTACCTTAAATATAGAGTGTAAAAATTAAACCAGCTTATTTAAGTAGTATCTTGTCTCACAAGGAGCAAGTGAATTACTATTCAGTTATGTTAAAGGTATCATATAGCTATAGTGAAATATTAAGAATAAGTGTTTTGAATGAAATATAGTTTGTCTAAAAGTGATTCTTTACATATCTAAACCTGGGAGAGTACACTCTACATTGCTGTGTTTTAAAGATTTTGACAACTAAGCCAGGTGTGGTGGCACGTCTTTAACCCCAGTACTTGGGAGGCAGAAACAGGTGAATCTCTGTGAATTTGAGGTCAGCTTGGGTCTACATGGACAACTAGGGCTACAGAAAGAGACCGTGTCTCAAGAAAGAAAAAAGTTGGGCTACAAATCATATTTCAAGATGAAATTCCCAGTCATCTCTGTTTTCTCATGACTTTGTTTGACATGGAAAGTCTAACTCTTCCCCCAACACACATGCGCACAGTGCTTCTCCTGTATTCTGACTCCTTCCCAGGTCGGTAAAGGGAATTCCTGTTTAAAGCCCACCCATCCTTCGGAACCCTAAGCTCCTGATGTTCCCCAAAGTCCCGTCAGCAGTTCAGCTGCGATGCTCATGGAATCCCCATGGGTTCCATTGCTCTTAAGATCTGCCTGGCATCTACAGATCTGCAAAGACAGAAATATTGGGGGACCGGTCAATGGTTTGTCTGTCCACGCAGTTGGGTGGCTTTGTGACTGAGTCTGATGAGATGGTGAAATCCACCTTGCAGTGATCCGACCACAGCATAAATGATTTAAAATGCCTATGTGGCTATCACATGACAAGATAAAACAAAGCTGACTTGTAATGTCAAGTGTTCATCTCGAAAACTGTCCCAACCTTTCATCTGACATTTAAATCTCTCAGCAATCCTTAAAGCTCTAGAGGTTTGCTAATGGGACAGCGTCAGAGAGAACAGTGACCCGCACAGAATGCATGGAAGGATCCGGATTCGGTTCAGAGCTCTTTTCAGATCATGGCTCAGTGTCAGGCTTTTGTAGCTTCCTGTGTTCTGTGCTGTGCAACCTAACTACACATGCAATTCATGGATCACCCCATGGTGCCCGGGTCCCACCCACAGAGATGCTAATGTAATTGCTCTGGGATATTGTCCTGGCTTATGGATTTTCCAGCTTTCATTGGATTCTGATACAGAACAAAAGTTAAAACCACTGGCCCACTGTTAGTGAATTAAGCAACAAGCCAGCTAATCTCAGTTAGGACCTCCTTCAGATTTTGTTCAGATGGTATTTTATGGGGGAACAAAACCCAGAAGGGGCTGGAGAGAGGGACCCACTGTTCAAAGCACTTGTTGCTCTTACAGGGGAGATGGGTTTGATTCCCAGCACCCACATCCCAGCTCACAACCATCCATAACCCCAATTCCAAGGGATCCTATGCCTTCTTCAGACTTCCTTGGGTACCAGGCACACACATGGTACACAAATACATGTAGACATAACTCTGTATACAAAAAATAAACAATCTTAAAAAAAAATTGGGGCTGGAGAGATGGCTCAGAGGTTAAGAGCACCGACTGCTCTTCCAAAGGTCCTGAGTTCAATTCCCAGCAACCACATGGTGGCTCACAACTATCTGTAATGAGATCTGGCGCCCTCTTCTGTATACATAATAAATAAATAAATCTTTAAAAAAAATTAATGATAGTTTATGGTGGTAGAAATGTAAGTTATTAGTTATAGCTGGAATATAAACATTCCTAGGAAATGCATGCCATCTCTGAATTTAATAAACATGAATCTTTTTCTTTTTATCTAAAGTTTTTTTCGTTGAAAGTCTCCTACTTTCAAAGACTTAACAAATCAACTTATCTTTAACATACTATCAAATTATTCCTGTCCATGTTTACAGTCCAGGACATCTCTTTCTTATTTATGTGTGTGCACAGATGTACACACACACACACACACACACACACACACACACACACACACACACGGAGGCCAAAGTCCAGCCTTGGATATTGTTCCTCAGGAGCTGTCTACCCAGCTTCCGCTGGCCTGGAGCTCACTGATTAGGTTGGGCCGTGTGGCCAGTGAGCCCCAGCATCCTTCACCTGTCCGCCTTCCCAGCCCTGGGACTGCAAGCACACCACCACGCCCAAGTTTTGCTTTTTAGGTTATGTGTGCATGAATGCATATGTGCCATGGCACACACAGAGAGGTTGGAAGGCCACTTTGGGGGTTTGGTTCTTTCCCACTGTTGGTTCTGGGCATGGAACTCAGGTTGTAAAGCTGATGCAGTGTGTGCTTTTACCCATGAAGCCATCTCGCACCAACAGCTGGCTTGTTTGTGTGAATGCTGGGAATTGAACTCAGATCCTCATGCTTGTACGGCGAGCGTTTGCCACACGCGCATTTCTCCAGCCCCTACTTCTCTTGGTTCACTTTTGCTCCTTTCTTTTAGTTTTTCTACTTTTAAGAGGTTTCATCTAGGGTTAGAGAGTTGGCTCAGTGGTTGGGTGTACTTGCTGCTCTCTCAGAGGACCCAGGTTCAATTCCCAGCAGCCTCATGACATCTGTGACTTTTACTCCCAGGGTATCTGGTGCCCTCTTCTGACCTCTCTGGGCACCAGGCAGGCATATGGTACACATGCATGCATGAAGGCAAAAACACTCAAACACATAAAATCATAAAATAAATAAATCTTTAAAAAATTAAAAATCAATGTATTAAAAAGAGGTATTGTCCTTTAGTAAATGAATGTTGGATTTGAGACATGATATTCATATGAAACTATCTCACAAAGAAATAGAGTGCCATCCGCTAGAAAAGTCTGGTGGGTAAGTTGTAAATATCAGGCTGGGGATATGGTTCAAAACAAAATGAAAACAAAGGAGGAGATGAACCATGTCCCACCAGTGCTGACACTGTGTCACCTTATGACAACTCTTCCTTCATACAAAACTTTTCTTGTAGAATGCCGTGAGGTTCATTGACAAGGGCAACTACCGAGAGATCTGGGAGAATGACTGGCTAAAAAAAGAAGTAAGTAGAATGTGTCAAAATAATTCTCCCTGTTTTTTTTTCTTGAACTGGCAATGACCTATAATTATAAAGTTGAAGTCATAGGACAAGTATGAGGTTTTTACTGATATAAAGGAATGTCCAAGTAAAATCTAATTCTATCATATTGTTACTCAACAAATACCAGAAATAATCTCAGTAATAACCAGAAATAATTTGGAGGCTTAATCCACACTGTACACCCAAATGCACCAAATTGCACTATGTCCTACAACCAACCTAGTGTTTCTCATGAGCCTGCCTCCTGCTGGGTGGTTGGCAAGGCGTCGCCCCTAGGTCACACATCATCCTTTGGAAGTGTGTTCAGCCTTTTAGACCTCTTTTCCTCCTCCTTACCTGATACACAGGGCAGAATGGCTTACATTACCTTTTGCAAGCAGGTGGCCAGCTTGCACTCAGATCCGAGGAGTTCCCTTTGAATCCTGGCTTCCTTTGCCCTTCAGCTCTGAGAAGTGCTCTGGTCTTCTCCCTATACTGGTGACTCCTGAAGTGATCGCTCTAATCTGTAGGATATTGTAATGTGGTCCAAAGCAAATGCACAGTACAGCCATTTGCCTGTGATCAAGAGGAACTTGTGGCACCTGTGTCTCTCCCCACCCTGATCCCCTCACATCTGTTCAAGAATTCATGGGAACTGCCAGGGCTGTATGGCAGTTTGCTGGGTGTGGTCATGTAAGGACTTCTATAGCACACTCTATACGGTCACTGTTTTGATCTGCATAGTCTTTGTTATTTGGAACTGTCCTGTTTTCCTCACATTGTAGATACAGGTCACTCTGTTCTGATCTCTAGTACAGCCATACTTTCACTGCCTGGAAAACTAACTCTTCCTTTAGGTGCAGACTTTGATAACCAATTTCTTTGTGAATCATTTCATAATGTTCTCAGGCATCTTGAGAACTCCAGTTTTCCCAATGTTTTCTTGCATTGCTGAATCCTTGCTAAAATACATTGAAACTCTGCTTGTGATCTGTGTCCTTAATACACACAGCAGGCTATATCTTTTTAACTGAATGTCTACAGTACCTGAAGAATAATCTTTGCTTATCAAAAACAGCTATTAAATGAATGAATGTTAAGGAATGTCTATAATTATAGATATACTTACTCATTGAGGGGATGGATCATATACATACTCACATATACTTTTAGTTTAGATGCAATTATACAAAATTGTGAATTATATTGTAGCTCAAGGTGCATCTTGTTTCTCTAAGGGCCCTCTGAAATAAAATTATAGAGATACGATAAAGAACCCATCTGAATGGATAAAGAAAATGTGGCACATATACACAATGGTGTACTACTCAGCAGTAAAAAACAATGACATCATGAAATTTGCAGGCAAATGGATGGAACTAGAAAATATCATCTTGAGTGAGGTAATCCAGACTCAGAAGGACAAACATAGTATGTACTCACTCATAAGTGGATACTAGATGTGAGGGAAGGGATGGCCAGACTGCAACCCACAACTCCAGAGAGGCTAGCTAACAGGAAAAGACTCTAAGAGGGACACAAGGATGACCCCATGAAGGAGAAGTGGATGAGATCTACAAGAGTGAACTGGGTGGGGGTGGGGTGGCAGAGGGCAAGGAGTGGGGGATGAGAACATAGGGAAATGGGAGGGTCAAGCTGAAACAGGGTCAGAGTGGGAGGGCAGGGAGGAAGTTACCATGATAGATGAGGACATCATGGGACTAGGAAGAGGCAGGGTGCTGGGGAGGCTCTCAGGAATCTTCAAGGATGACCCCACCTTCATCTGCTGGCAGTGGTCCAGAGGATGCCTGGACTGGTCTACTCTGGTGACTGGTCTAGCGAATAACCTAGCTGTCATCATAGAGCCTTTGTCCAGTGACTGATGGATACAGATGCAGAGATCCACAGCCAGGCACCAGGCTGAGCTCCTGGAATCCAATTGATGAGAAAGAGGAGGGATTCTGCAGGCGAGGGACGTCAAGATCATGATGGGAAAACGTGCAGAGATGACCGGCCACACTGGTGGAAGCCCATGAACTGTGGACTGGTGGCTGTGGAGCCCCATGGGACTGAACTAGGCCCTCTGGATATGGAAAATGGTTGTTTGTCTCAAACTGTTTGGGGGGCACCCAGGCAGGGGATCGGGATCTGTCCCTGGTGCATGGGCAGGCTTCTGGAACCCTGTGCCTATGGTGTGACGCCTTGCGCAGCCTTGGTGCAGTGGGAAGAAGCTTGGACCTGCCTAGGCTCAGTGTGCCAGGCTCTGCTGACTCCCCATGGGAGACCTCGATTTGGGGGATGTGGGGATGTGGAGTGGCTTGAGAAAGAGGGCTGGGGAGTGGGAGGAGGGAGGAGGGGGATCTGTGGGTGGTATGTGGAGTGAGTAATGGCTCAGAGGTTAAAAGAACTGGTTGCTCTCCCACAGGTCCTGAGTTCAATTCCCAGCAACCACATGGTGGCTCACAACCATCTATAATGAGATCTAGTGCCCTTTTCTGGTGTGCAGGCATATATGTAGGCACACTGTATACATAATAAATAAATCTTTAAAAAAAAAAGAAAGAAAAGAAAAAAAGAAAAATAAAAAAAAAGAAGAAGAAGAACCCATCTGAAAGGACAACTGGTGTAGTGAACTAGCAGGTGAGGTTTCAACAATTTTCTGTCAGACCAGAAAAAAAAAAAAAGGTGTGAAAGCAAGCTGTTGGGTGAAAGTAGCAGGTAACATTTGGTCCAGATGTTGTAAGTGTGCTCTGTGGAAAGTGCAAAACTCTGTTTGGGAAGCTTGAGGGAGCCTCTTCTCAGAGCCTGTGTGTGCTGTAGGTGGCAGGGATAGGAGGAGGAGGAGGAGGAGGAGCAGAAAACGAGAACTTGCCAGCATCCCTGGATCATCTCCTTCATACCGAACAAAGCACTTCTCTTCTGGCCTAGGATTGTGCAGGCTCTCCCACGAGAACACTGAAGTCATCTGATACAGTTTCTAGCATAGATGCGAGGCCTTTATATGCAAAAATTATGTTTCCAATTGTGACATTCATGGGGACACAGTCAAAATATCCTACTTCTGATCCTCAATCCAAAACAGTCCTCCTGCCCTGACATGCCACTTTTACCGACTTTAATCTACTTTCTCACTGTGAGGAGAAACTTAGGATAAAAACGGTCCTAGTTATGCAGTGGTGGAGAAAATACCACCATTCCTTAGACCAGTGGTTCTCAACCTTCCTCATGCTGTGATCCTTTAATACAGTCCAGGTTCTGGATGGTACTCAGGTGGGCGGACCCGCCTGAGATGGATAAAGAAGTAGTGTCTCCGTTCCTACGACCATCGGGAATCGGTGTTTTCAGATGGTCTTAGGCAGCTCCTGTAGGGGTCACAATCCACAGGTTGAGAACCGCTGCCTTAGACCCTTCTTAATATGACCGAAGGATCACTAAGGACAATTGGACAAATGGGAGAAAAACCAGGCGAACTAAGGAGAGCAGAAGCAAGCGCTGGTGCTAAAGCCGTCCCTAAAAGATGCCCGAGGGAATTTCAGAAAAAATGCAAAGCGACTTTTATTAATATCAAAAAAATTGAGAGTCGGTTTATTTATGAAACAGGATCCTTCAAGACCAAAATAATGAGATATAAAATAGTATGCCGAGTGCACTCTCTCAGGACAGGGAGAGACACATCACTAATGGAAGAGGCACGGTATCCAAGAAACATGAATTCTAGAAAGATAAAGCAGAGGGAAGCATCAGCGAAGCTGGAGAAGAAAGTCCCTGGCGGCTGGAAATGGCCAGCAAAAGGAGGCCGAATGGATGAGCGGTAACCAGCGCTGGTGTCAGTAATGAAGTTCAGGTGGCGGGTGCTTTTGAACTGGAAATTCTATCCTCCACTCAGCTGGGTTAAAGGAAACAAAACCAAACGCTGTTCCCAGAATTTCAAGGGCTGTGATATTTACGTCTCAATCATCCTGAGGAATTTACTGAACAGTACACTTAACAGCACAAACTAGTATACCAAGAAAGAGAGACACAGGAAACGCTGGCTTCCCCTAAGCTCCAGGGAAGAAATGCCCGAGGATAATTGTGTTGCAGGCTTAAAAGGCATCCAGATTAGAAGTGATGTCATTTCCAGGCTCCAAACCCACGCGCTCATCAGCCAGCTGCAGCTCCGCGTAAACTCACCACAGGCATCTCCGACTCCTGAACTGACAACATCTGCCTCTTTCCCTGAAACTGCTTCTGGTCCCAGGCTGTCAGTCCCACGTCAGGACTTTGGAAGTTCCAAAGAAATGCCTTTTTCCGTATCCACATCCAGAAGGCCTCTACGTCCCGTAAATCCGAGCCAACCACTTCTCCCTGGCTTCTCCGCCACTGCCCTACCCCCGGCCCTCCTTAACCACATCCCGTCTGTGAGTGGCGCCTTACCTGGTTTTGCTTCCCTTAAGCCAGACCCTTCCCCTTTCTCCTCCACACAAACTCAGAGACTTCCTTCTAAAATGTAAACTGGACTCTGTCATTCTGCTGTGGGTTCAGAGGGGCAAGGGGACGTGACAGATGGTCTCTGGAGACATAGGCGGGGCACATATTGTGTACCATGTTGCAGGTTTGGAGTCATGATGGCTAAAACAGTCCACCTGACATGATCTAGCAGACGTAAGCCTGGGCATCTATGAGAACTTTCTAGATTGGGCTTCATAAATGAGGTAGGAAGATCCACCTTAAATGTGGGCAGCACCTTCATTGGCTGGGGTCTATACTGAATTAAAAAAAAAAGAGTGAGTGAGCTGAGCACACCAGTGTTCATTGTTCTCTCCTTCCTGACGACAGATACAATGTCACCAGCTGCTTCCTGCAGCTGCTACCATGCCGTCCTGGCCAGGACACCTTCAAGCCATTCGTGTCTTCAAACAATGAGCCAGACATCAGCCCTTCCTTTTTAAAGTTGCTTTTGCTGTGTCTCACAGCAACAACACAAGTAACTGTTAACATTA